CCCCCCCCAACCCCCCCCCCCTTTGGTGGGGTTCCCGGGGGCCCGGAGGGCCTTTATGCCAGGCTTATCCCCCCGGGGAAAAAGACCAAGGGGTTTTTTAAAACCCCGCGGGGGGGGGAAGGGTTTCCCCCCCCCCCCCCCACCGGCCCGGTGCCCGGACACGTCCAGGACATGTTTTGGACATGGGTTAAACATGTCGCATAGGCCGCCCCCCGCCCGGGGGGTTGTTACCCGAGGCGACAGGTCGGTAAATGGGAAGGGGACGGGCACCCAGGGGGCTCGGACTGGACGCTAGCTCCCGGTATGGGGGGGGGGGGCCCCGAAACAGGAAATCCTAAAGGAAAGGACGGCCCCCTGGAGGAGCACACAAACCCCCCCTCCCCCAAGACACTCCGCCAGGGGGCATTGCCCCCCCCCCCCCGAGGGAGGGTAGGGCATTGCGCTACTGGGGGCCGGGCCCCCCCCCGTTTGCCCCCCCCCCCCCCCCAAGCACCCGAGGCGCCAAGGGCACAAACAACAACTAGAGCAGCAGCGCAGGGCGCTCCCCCTCGCCTTCCTCGCCGAAACGACTCCTATGAGCCCCACCATTCTTGGTTATTAGGCGCTGCCCCTCGCCTTTCTCGCCGAGAAGTGCGGCGGCGCCTCCTCCGACGGCCGCTCCTCGCTGCTGCGCGTGCCGGTGGGATCGGCTCGACGAGCGGAGTCCTATTGCTCCTGTTGCTGTTCTCACTGCTCTTACTATGGTAGGTGGGGCGGCCCGACCAGCGGCGCCGCCAGCCGGCCGTGAACAGCGTCTCTTCACACCTGCAGCTGTGAACTAGGTTGAGCGGCTCGACCAGCGGACGCAGCTCGCTGTTGGGTCCGCGAAGGAGGTTGGCTCCCCCCCCCCCCAACCCACCACACACTCACACAGCTCACTCACACACACACACACACACACACACACACACACACGCGCGCGCGCACACACACACACACACACACACACACACACACACACACACACACACACACACACACACACACACACACACACACACACACACACACACACACACACACTCACACTCTCACACCGCTCGCCCACGCGCACCGCGCGTTGCACTTTCAATGCCGTGGGGCTCCTGTCGTCCAGACGTGGAGTCGCGAGGGCTGCCCTGGCCCTTGCCCCACCACCTCATGTGTCTGGAGAAGTCTACCTTACCCTTCCTTAGGTGGCCCGTTTCGACGAGATGGTCGGGCCAGCGGCCCTGGCCGTAGAGACGGAGTGACGCCTCGCGATGTCGGACGGATGTGAGGGAGAGCGTCAGCGTGTGCATGTTGTGCATGTTGAGACAACACGCACCCGGCGCCCGGAATGCAGAAGGGTTCCAGGGGGGAGCCGACTTAACCGGGGCGCGCCGCAGCCGGAGCGGCACACCCCGCACAGCGCCTCAGCGGTCCGGCAGGGGCCAAAGCGCGACAGGGCACACGCCCAGTGGCACAGCGCTGGGGTTTGCGTGCCCAGGGCTGGCTGCGACGACTAGTCTAGTTTTCCATGCGGGTCAGCTCCAAAGAGCAAAGAAGCAAAATATTCGGATTTCGATTGCATGTTCACATTTTGCGCGGGAGTGAAACGCGCAGGCGCGGCGGCATGGCAGACCAGGCAGAGGGGAGAAGGGGAGGCCGGAGGGGGGGCCAACCCTGCCCAGCAGCCGTGCGCGCCGCCTCGCGCAACACACACACAGCACGCGGGTTTTCGCGCGTCAGCTGGACGGAGCGGTGCGGCCAGGGTACAGGTACTTCATGCGGTACGCGTATGTGCTCGCCTCGATCTCCTTTCGCCGCCCGCCGTCGCCGAGCAGCAAGGGCAGCAGGATGCCTACGGCGGGCGCAGAGGCGTGGTGCGATGCGGTCGGGGCGCTGCCGCGCCCGGGCCTCGTTCGCGCGGCGGTGCGGCGCACCGACACCGCCGAGGATGCAAGAGAGCACGATGACGGGCTCTTGCTCCGCCTCCTTGCGCACGACGCGCAGGAAGACGGTCGAGAGAAAGTTGGGGTTCATGCCCGCGCGCGGCGCCCGCGAGTCCCGCCTGCGCAGAGGGGGGCGCGCAGGAGCGCCGCGGTCAGTGCTCGCCCGGACGGCAACGGTGGGGGTGGGGGATGGCGGCGGCGGCGTGGCGTGGAGAGCTTGTGTGAGACCAGAAGCGGGGGAGAGGTCGGGGCCGCGGGCGCGGCCGGCGTGCGGGTGTGTGGGGGGGGGGGGGCGACTGGGGCGGGCGGGCGGCGGGGCTGGCGGGCGGCTAGGGGCCCGTGTTTGGTTGCGTGCGGCATGATGCGCGCTGGGGGCGAGGGCGGGAGCGGGAGCAGGGAGCGGGGCGCGGCGGTGGCGACGGCGGCGGCCGACCGGGGAGTCTACATCTCGGGTGGCGGGGCGGCGGTGGCGCGTGGGGGTGAGGGGTGCGCAGCGGGAGGATCGGGCCTCACCAAGCGCAGCGACAGCAAAGCACGCGAAAGAAGAATTCTGCGGGGAAGAGAGACTGCGAAGAGAGATAGAAAGAGGCAGACTCCCTAGGGTGGGCGACGGCTAGCGCATCACACACCTCTCCTTAAAATCCCTGTGTGGTGGCGGCGTGCCGTCCTCCCCATCCCTCCCTTGCGTTGTCTGTTTTCTTTCTTTCTTTAGGGTGTGTGTGTAAGAGAGAGAGATTTTTAGCAATGTTGTTTGTGTGTGTGTGTGTGTGTGTGTGTGTGTGTGTGTGTGTGTGTGTGTGTGTGTGTGTGTGTCGGCGGCAGGGGCGGCGCAGCAGATATCGCGTGTTTGGAAGCAATCTGATTCTGAAGTGATGGCTTTTCCGACCGCTTGGGGCGGTGTTTTTCTCGCGTTATCAAAGACCCTCAAAACAATCCGCCGGGTGTGGGGCCGCCTGGGGGGGGCGGCCCTCGGCCGCTCTGTGTATCTCGAGACCTCGAGAGAAGACCGCCCGCAGGCCCAAGTCTTCTCGAGACCCCGAGGGCCCAAGTCAAGAATTGGCCTTTTTTTAATGAACTCGGGGGCACGGGACGCGGCACAAACGGGGCACAAACGCCAGGCTACAAACACGGGGAGGCACGTACTCGAGTAGTGACGCAAGGGAGTCTAGGTAGGCGACGGTGGCGTCCTCCGACGCCGCAGCGCCTTTTGGCGGGCAAGGGGGGGACCCCAGGAAAGGGGGAGGGTGAAATAAATAAAGCGGTGGGAAAGAACGTCCCTTTTCTTATTTCAACGAAAGGCGCAAGCTCATAAAATAAAACTAATGGCGGGCACGTCGCAAGGAAGGACGTTGGGGGACGCGCGCGGCTAACGAGATGCTCGTTGATCTCAACGACGATACGTTGATGCTCGTGAACCTCCCTGACGATATGTTGAGAGCGATCGCGAAGCAGCTGGCCGAGTCTGACCTCGCGTCCGCGGTCGCCCTCAAACGATGCAGCAGCCGCTTCAAGGACCTCGCCACCCCGCTGGTGGCAAACGCCATGGAAAGGACGGAGGAGAAGTGGCGGGATGCGGCAGCCGAAATCGGCGGCCGAGGCGCTGCAACGATCACAGGCGGGCTCGAGCGCAGCGAGGTGCTCACCGACCTCAACCTCGGCAACAACCAGATCCGCAGCGAGGGCGCCGCTGCGATCGCCGAGGCGCTGCGCAGCAACGCGGTATTGACCGAGTTGTGTCTCGGCGGGAACGAGATCGGCGACGAGGGCGCCGCTGCGCTGGCCTCCGCTCTGCGCGTCAACGACCGCGGCTCGTGTGCGTCTACCCGTCTTTGTCCGGAGTGAATACTCCAACGCGCTCGTCGGTGGCGGCTTCCCCCAACCTGCGCCGCGCTCGGCGAACCTCGACAGCGCTTTCGGTGGCATGCAGCTCTTTGCAGCAGAAGCCTGGAGAGCAGCTCCTCTGCTGCTCACACACTCTGCACAGTTGACACAGCCTACTGTGCGGCTGCCACAGCTGTGACAGCGATGGGCTCGCCCTCACTGGCCCTCAGTCACTTGTGCTGCGGCTTGTGTGAGCGACACTGCTCGGCGACTGCCGGCACACTGTGAGACCATGGGTGTGAGGTCAATTGGGCCAGGTACCAATTTTGTCGATTTTTTTTCAAAATCTGCAGGCGCGGAGCGCCTGCGAAAATTTTGAAGAAATTTGCAGTCGGGCCTGATTTTCATCAAGATCTTTCAAATTTGCGGTGTGGAGTTGGGGGGTGGGTTAGGTTAGGGTTATTAGGGTTAGAGGGTTAGGGTTAGGGTTAGGGTTAGGGTTAGGGTCAGGGTTAGGGTTAGAGTCTGGTTGTGTCTGTATATGCCAGCGTTGCAGGGTTCTGCGCTGGGATCTGGCCCCAGCGCCGACGAGTAAGACTCAGCACCGCACGCTGACCCCACCAAATGCCGCCTCAGGGCGCCAGGCCGCCAGCCACTTCTTACACGCGGCCGGCGCCCTCTCGCGGCAAAAGGGTCGAGCGAGCGGGCAGAGTCGCGATGTCTGCGCACCCGCGTGCCGATGGGCGGCACACGCAACCGAGAGAGGCCCTGTCGCGCCGCCAGTAGCGTTCTCCGCACTCCCCACGCCACCAATTGCCGCCTCAGGGCGCCAGCCACCTCTTACACGCGGCCGGCGCCCTCTCGCGGCAAAAGGGTCGAGCGAGCGGGCAGAGTCGCGCGATGTCTGCGCACCCGCGTGCCGATGGGCGGCACACGCAACCGAGAGAGGCCCTGTCACGCCGCCAGTAGCGTTCCGCACTCCCCACGCCACCAATTGCCGCCTCAGGGCGCCAGCCACCTCCTTACACGCGGCCGGCGCCCTCTCGCGGCAAAAGGGTCGAGCGAGCGGGCAGAGTCGCGCGATGTCCCTGCGCACTACCTGGGTGTTCGCCGCCTATATGCTCTATCCTGTGCCAAGACGGACACATTTTGACAATCAAAATCTACCTCAAAATTTGCGGCCGCCCCTCGAAATTTGCTGATCAAAATTTGCGGTGGCCCGGATCGAAACCTGTACTTTGGCCAAGAGGTCAAACCACGCGCTACCACAGCGCTTCTGGTCACATCGGCCCCGAGGTCAGATCCATCTACTCTGTTGATGACAAGACTTGTCTACCGGCTGGAGCCGAGCAGGAGGGCCCGGCGCACAACCCCCTGGTCAACTCACCACGTACCTCCCCCACACCCCCCGTAGCCTAAAGTAACCGCACCCCGCACAGCCGAGCGCACATGCACCCCGGCTTTGGAGTGTCTGAGCTTCCGCCCCACGACTTAGATTTCTCAAAGTATGTCGACAGTTCCGACCTTTGTGGGGTGACTGTCGGACACCGCTACTCCACCGCGTCTCGCCCGAGCGCCGCACAATACGGCGCCGGCGGTGTGTCGCCCCCCGTTTCGCGCCGCCGCCTGCGGAACGTGAATAGCCGGACGCTGCTAGACTCAGGCACACCGGCGATCGGCGACGCCTCTCCTCGCCACGCCTCTCCCGACGCCCCCTCCACATCCGGCTCAAACTGCTCCCACAGCATTGTGAAGAAGCGCGCCTCGATCGGCTTGCGCTCTCGGTAGGTCAGAACGAGGGTCGTGTTCTCATGGCTTAGCAGCCACATCGTGCAGAGCAGCGCCGCAAACGAGGCCTCGCGAGCCACGGGGCCGACTATCCCATCGGTGCCGTAGACCAGGTCTGAGCCCAAGACGGTGTCGAAGGAGCCCAGCGCTCGCGCGGCGGCCACGTCGCCCCACCACAGCTGCCTAACGTCGACAGATCCGGCTCCGCTCTGCCCGCCCTCGTTTGATTCCGATCCGCTCTGGCTGCCGGCAACGTCTTGTAGGCGTTGGTTGAGGAGGACGTTGCGCTTGGCCACGGGCTGGATGGACTCGTCGCCATCAGTGGCGACCACGCGCGCTCCGAGGCAGCTCGCGACGATCGAGACGAGGCCGAGGCCCGCGCCCAGCTCTATGGCCGTCGAGCCGGGCACGATGCCAAATGTCGCCGCACGGGCGCCGATGAGCTCTGCCAGCACGACGCTCCCGCTCCAGAGCACGCTTCCCGTGTCGCTGCCACCGATGACCTGCTCGATGGCAAATGACGAGCACTGACCGCCGCCGCTGCCAAGCACCACGCGCCTGAAGACTTCATCTGGAATGCCCGTGGCGTGGGTTGGCACGGATGATGTACCATTCCCTGGAATGAATATTCGTATCGGCGCGGCCGTCGCCCAGGACGGAGGAGTCGTGGGCACGTAGACGACCAACGCTTGCGAGTGGCCGCCGCAGGCGGGTGCACAGAGCGGGGCGAGCAGCCACATGGGCGGTGCTGTCTGCTATACCGCGGCCGGTGTGAACAGAATTCCTACACCGAGCGGCAGGAAACGCCTTGCTCCGCAACTCTGGAGCGCAGAACGCGGTAGATTTTGTGGTCGCGCATTCGGCAAGCCAACGTCACCATGTGCAAAAAGGTAAGGTAGGGTAAGGTAAACGTCTCCACACACACAAAGTGAATTTTAGCCTGTGAATGTATGCTTTCTTTCTTTCTTTCTTTTGCAGTGCTGCAAAAAGAAGAAAATATTACACATGTGCATGTGTGCATGCAAGCGGCGAGAGGCACTCCCGTGCCCAGAGTCGTGCGGCGAGAAAGAACAAAAGAATTACTAGCCCGCCGCCCGCCGCCATCGTAGACGCATCATGCGGATTGACCCCGTGCTCTCAACACCGCGCCATCCGCCGTCTGCACTCTGCTCAAGACCCGCGACTCTCGGTGCAATTGGCTCCGTCATCAGCGGTCCAGTAGCCAAAGCGGACCATCGCGCGTCGGAAATATGCATCCCCGCACCCGTCCCCAAGCCGCGAGTACAGCCCCGCGACTCGAGGGCACATCGCGCTGGTCCGCAGCTGGGCGACGAGGGCGGCCATCTTGTCCCTAACCATGTACTCGACCACGCTCTCCTCCTGACGGAAGGTGGAGGGGTCGCGCCAGCACGTGGTGTTGAGGCCGCCTCGAGCCTCTGGGCACACCGCGGCCGGCGGGACCCCCACCCACTCGAGAAGGCTCGCGACACCGACCCCACGCACAACATCCTCGATGCGGACGCTCCGGTAGCTCATTGCGGCCGCCCTTGGGCCCCCTCGCTCCGCGGCGTCCCGCGCCTGCGAGTTCACAGCTGCCCACAGCTGCCCCTGCCGCATCAGCGTCTGCAGCGCGCCGCATGGGCGGTCGAGGAGAGCCTTGTGGAGTTGTGCGCCGCTGCAATGCTTCTGCGAGAGGGCGAGGCACTCCGCGTGCAGTGAAGCAACCGCTGCCGTATCGTACGTGTACACCGATCTGTTGGTGCTGAGTGCGGAGCCGCAGTTGCCGCCGGCGCAGGACTGCCTGAGCTGCACGTTGTTCGTCGAAAGCATCATCGTGGGTCCGTGCCGCATGAGGTGCATGAAGCGCAGCTTCCGGCCCAGCAGGGAGCGCAGGACCGGGAGGAGGACAAGGCTCTTGCACGCCTTCCAGCCGATTGCGTGAAAGGGCGGTGCGTACAGGTCGTCCTCCCGGGCGTCGGCTCTGCTGCGGCGCGCCCGCAATAGGCGGTTGCGGTAGTAGCAATAGAGCTCACTCCGCAAGTCAGACCACACCCGTTGCAGCGCCGCTCCGAGCGCCCGCTCCGCCGCCGCCAAGACGGCTGCGGGCAGTTGGTGCAGCTGGTAATCGAGAGACCCCGCGGAGGCTGGCCCAGTGAAGACGGACTGCATGACTTGAGCCAGCGGCGGTCGGTCGTGCACGGCAAAGTACGCACAGTCCATCGTGCTCGGGTTGAGGCAGTGGCCCATGTAGACTCCGTGCCTGAAGAGCAGCTCTGCGAGCCCGCGGCTGCCCGAGCCGCCCAAGCACCCCACGGCCACAGTGCTGCGATTCGCCCAGGCCACCGATCGGTCCACGAGCCGGCGCACCAGCGAGTGGTCAGCCTCTTCCCACGTCTCGGTTTGCCATTGCCGCGTGTGCGAGTCCAGCAGCTGCGCCCGCGCCTTGCCACTCAGAGTGGCCCCAGGCGGCACGCACAACGCTGCCGTTTCGACGGGCGGAGGCGGCTCGGCGTCGGCCGGGGCTGTCATCCCGAGGGGCGACGAGTTCCTACTTGCAACTTGGGTCGATCCGTGCGAGCGGGGAGTGCGAGTGGAAGCGCCCGCCGGCGAAGAGCCGCAAGGTTTCTCGTTTTCCAGGTGCGTCAGGCTATTTCTGCGTTTGGCACACCTCTCTCAGCTGACGCATGAACAGGGTACAGTCTGCGGGCATTAAGAAACCGTGAAATAACACCGAACGATTTACATCTAAGAGAATCTGACAACAAAGCTCCCGCCTCGCACAACACTGGGCACGGGCCACGGCGCTTGGCGCACGGGGGGACTGGCGCGCACTGGCACTAACACAGGTTCAGGCCTCAGCTTCAGGTACACCACGGCGGAGAGCCGCGTAAAAGAGAATTTTACAACAAAGCTCCCTCGCACAACACTGGGCACGGGAAAAGAGAAAACACGACCCCGCGACGCCGACGGTCGCCACACGGCCTCGAGCACACACGGCCGAGTCCGCGCACTAGCCCGCGCACGCCGCCCGCAGGCGCGGCCCCTCAAATTTTCTCTTCGCCTGCGGCGCGCCCGGGGGGCGCACTTGTCATTTGAAACTACACCTGAGCCCTGGCTGTCAGGCTGTCAGGTGCTGTCAGGTGATCTGTCGGGCTGTCGGGCAGCTGTCAGGCACTGTCAGGTGCCTCTGTCAGACCAGCTGTCGGGTGCTGTCAGTGCTGTCGGGTGCTGTCGGGTGCGTGTCTGACATCAGAGGGGCTCTGTAGCTGTCGGGTGCTGTCAGAGCTGTCGGGTGTTGCTGTCAGACGCTGTCGGAGCTGTCAGAGCTGTCAGGCTGCTGCTGCTGTCAGACGTTGGGCTGTTGCTGTCAGGTGCTGTCAGGTGGTGCTGTCGGGGTGCTGTCAGGCTCTGACACACACCAGCCACACTTATGACACTATCAGAGGAGACCAGCAGGACTCTACTGCACACAGCACACATACTCTAGTCTCTACTCTGCCTCCGGTCCCACCATCTTCTTCATGGTGGACGTCACCATCTTCTTGTCTGCCGCACTGAGAGAATAGCAGAGAGGCAGGCTGGAGTGCTTCTTCAGGTACACCTTGCTGATGATCTGGTAGTTGCTGGTCCAGCGGAAGGCCTCCCCATCGTTGTCGCTCGTCAGCTTGTAGTACTTGCACGCTCTGTTCTGGTAGCGCGGGCCGTCTGGGGGGGTCCCGTCACCCTTCACCTCACGGTACCACCGGAGGATAAAGAGGCCCTTGGGGTCGTTGATGAAGACCCCGTTGCTGCGCTGACTCATCGAGAGCTGGCGCAGGTACTCTGCGCTCGAGCTGCCAGTGGCGCGGCGCGCGTCTACCGTGCCGTCGGCGACGGCCACCTGTCGGGTGCTGGGGAGCGCAGATGGCGGCGCAGGCGCAGGCAGCGGCGGCACAAACGGCGGCGGCCACCCCCACCCAGACGCTGTAGGCATATGGCTGTAGGGCCCCAGAAGGCTAGCTGGTAGCTTCATTTGTAGTAGCACAGCCGCGGGTCCGCAGAGGTGGGGCGGGAGGGTTGAGAGAGAGACCCTAGGAGAGACCCATGACCATCCCATGACTACATGTCTTTGCATGTAATAGTTTTGTTATACCCTCATGGCACAAGAAAGAGGCTGCACGGCCTGTGTACGGTCTGTGCTGCTGTCGGGCTGGTCGGGCTGTCGGGCTGTCAGCGCTGCTGTCAGGCCACTGTGTGCTGTCAGGCTGTCGGGCAGCTGTCAGGCTGTCACGTTAGGGCCTGACAGCGACAGAGCCCCGCTGATGTCAGACTCTGCTGTCAGGCTGTCAGATACGTGCTGTCAGGCTGTCAGAGAAGTGCTGTCAACGCTGTCAGGCTGTCGGGCACTGTCAGGCGCTGTCCGGGCGGTTTGCTGTCAGGCTGTCAGACCAGGGCTCAGAACTACACCAATAAAGGTATACTCTCGGTGCCAAAAATGTACGTAAGAGCCACATTAACCCACAAAGAACCCTGCACAAAGATCGCACGGGCGGGGACCTGTTCCTTTTTACCCACCTCACAGTAAGAGGTGTGCGTTTTATTTATTTATTATTATTTACTCATTTACTCAAAAAGCGTGCACAAGAGGAAGTGCGATCGTGCTGCGCTCGGGGCGCCATCCCCAATGCAGCCTGCACCACAACTTCGTGGCCGTGCAACCTGTTCTGGGCCCATAGAGCTACGAGTTCCAGATGTGTCCGAGCCGCGTCAGCCTGCTCCTGCCCTCACCGCCCGGCACCAGCTCCGTCAGGCCGCGCAGGCCGTGCCCGTCGTGCGCGCTCATCCACGAGTACCGGTACACAAAGTCTGCCGCATCGAGCCTGGGTAGCACCGCCTCCATGAAGCGCGCGTGGTCGACGGTCGGCCTCTTCTCGGCACCGGCGCCGCACGAGAACTCTGTCAGCCACACCGGCAGGTGGTAGCGGTCGTGCAGCCGCTCGAGGTAGCGGAGCGTCGCGTCGGGGTCGCAGCTGTAGTCGTGGGCGGCGAGGTGCGAGATGCGGCACCCGGCTTTGCCGTACAGGGCGGAGCAGTTCCCGAAAAAGGCGTCAAACCACGGCACTCCGTCCCCGGAAGTGGCCGGGCTCACCAGCTGGCTCTCGGGCCAGCGGTCCATGACGGCCCTCCACGCCTTGGCGGCCTCGCGCGGCGCCGTGTTGCAGTTGTGGTCGTTGTTTGGCTCGTTGAAGCCCATGAAGAATGTCGCGTTGATATACGCAGGCGCCTGCTTCTCCACGGAGTCCAGGCACCAGTTCATGGGCACGAAGCGCCGGTCCAGCGCCGCGGCCGAGCGGGCGCGCGCGCAGTCGCCGGGAGCGCCTGGTTTGCGGTAGTTGTTGTCGAGGTTGTAGTCGTAAAACCATCCTGAGACGTTGAGCAGCAGCGGATCGTCGCACGAGCGGCTGTCTGCGACGAAGCCGCGCTTGGCATTCTCCCTGCTCGCCACCGGAGGCGCAGGCGGCAGGGGCGGCTCCGCGACGGTGCATGGCGGCGACGCCTCCGAGCACTTGCGGCCTGACGCGGCGATGGCGCCGCAGCAGCAGTCGCGAGCGCCGCCTGGTCGCGACTGGCAGCCGCCGCCGCCGCAGGTGCCACACAACTTGGAGCAGCAGCACTCAGAGTCTTCCGGAAGGATGCCGGTGAGGCAGTGCGGGTCCGGGGAGGAGATGGCGTTCGGAGAGGAGTAGCCAGTGGCGGCGGCGAGCGCGAGAAGCATATGCTAGCCTTAGACACATGACACAAATCCCCGCGATACCTGCGGCTTCGCCGCGAAACCGCAGCGCGGGTTTGGGTCATCGGTAAGGTACGGGATTTTTACTCCACACACACAAAGTGGTGGGGCAAGGGGGGGCGACCCTCGCATCTCCACGCGTGGTGGGGCAAGGGGGGGCGACCCTCGCATCTCCACGCCCGGACACGGGAGGAGCCCCACGGCATTCAAAGTGTGCAAGCACCGGCCCGGTGCCGTGGGTGTAGCGTGTAGGGTGACGCTGACGGCACGACCTGCACACCCCCACTCCCTCCCTCCCAGACACAGGACCCACACACAACCCCCACAGCGTGGACGACTGCGCGATTCCGTTTCTGTACGCGGGTCCCGGCCCGTCGCAGGCGCATTTTTTCGATGTAAAATGAATAATGAAAGGAGGAAAAGGAAGAGATTCACTGAGAGACAGAGAGCTCCGGCGAGTGTGGCGTCTTGCAGAGGGCTGGCGAGTTCCTACCCGACCGCACAGGACCCCGCGAAAGCTAGCGGCGAAAAGCGCGAGAGCCCCGAACCGGGCGTGCGAAGGCGCAAGCGGGCAGCCGGCGAAGAGAAGCGAGCGAGGGCGGCGTGTGGGGCGTGTGGGGCGGCGGGGGGCGGGGGGGGGGGGGGGGGGCCCCCGAAACCCGGGTCCCC